GACCTGGTATCTTGCTTCTGCTTCTCTGAAAGAGAGAGGTGTTACAAACTTGAGCACAAAGTCCCAAGCGTCTCCGTGGACGAGGTGTTAACGTCACTTCCACCACTCATACGCTAAATAAGTTGCAAACAAGGCAACAAACAATATTTGTTTTTCGTAAGAATGACAGACCGCCAGTTTAAATATTTTATTTACTTTTTATTCACTTTTAAGATTTTGTACAAAATTTGTATAAAGCATTCTAATAATTTTAATATGTGTATATTAATAATTTTAGTTTCTTCAGTCAGAAATCTATTTCCGGTTATCCTGCATTCAGAACCAGGCATAGAATTATTGCACCGAGAAGAATAGGCTAGTATTTTCAACCAGTAACATATACAACGTAACATTGTCCCCAAAAAATTAAAGGAAATATAAAATGCTAATTGCCGTGTAAGTAGCTTTATTTTTATCAACGTCAATTTGTAGAAAACATATTGATAAAAGAAACGAAATCACTCTAATATTGCTTTTTTGTTGTTATTTAAGGGTTATTCATTATTATTTAAGGGTTAATCATCAAAAACTAGGTTATTAGAGACCATTATTGCATTTAACGTTATGGCAACTGTGAAATTACATGATATGATCGTGATAGGGGGTGAAAAGACGAACAAAAAACTACAACCATGCCCCAGACGTGACTCGATCCCGATCCAACGGCACAACGGCACTACCGCTATAACGATGTCGGCCATTCGGACCGGCACACAATCATTTTCATTTATCGTTATGGTGTGTGTAAAACCACAAGAGATCTCATTGTTATGTTAATTTACTTTTATGCTAATTATTAAGTCATTTTAGGGTCATAACTATTTTACATTACGACATGCGCTGCCCATCATACATGTATTACAAATATGCGTACGCTGATAAATATTTAACTACAAAAGGCGTTTGATATCCCACAATATATTTCACAACCAGTTTTATGTTAGTGCTTATGATTGCCATACGAGGCTGTCAGAACCCAAATGGTCTAACCACAAATTTGATATTTCAAGATTGCTTTAAAACATGCTAATTTAAACCCTCTCGAAAATGTGAAATTGTCAAAGAAACCTTCTCAGTTTTACCATGACAAGACAGCACGAGTTCCACTTGTGTATCGAATTTGGTGCGTTATCCTTGTGTGGCCCAGTGACAGACCTAACCTCATAGCGTCACGCATCATTAGCTTCATACTCCTCATCTGAATAAGAAAATTCAGAGACTTCGACGGCAGATGCTAATATTCGGAAATTTAAACCTGCTATGTAGACAATCGATGGAAGCAAAAAATGCACACATTTGCTGCTTTCATTTAACACGGAATTTAGGAGAATCAAATGATAGTACGTGGAAATATAACCATAGAAGAAACAAATTCTAGTAATGACCGTATTATAAGAAATAGTGTAGGTCCCGCGAAACATTTAAATAATTGAAAGTACATAAATATAACAAAAAATGTCAGATTATCAAAACCCATGAGGAATGTAAGAAGCTATTTGACTCATATTAGACACTTCCTAGATATCACGAATTCCAGCATATTAATATAGTGGATTAGAGTTTAACCAAAACGGACAATGTTCAGTGAGCTTCTGGTAAATGATCGTTCCCACGCCTCTAATAGTGACCGAAAGGAAATATACCAGTGTGTGATATTCTTCAAGGAAACGTTATCTGTATGAGATGGTCGATTAAGAAATTTTTCCCAGACAGCCTCGCCCACATCTTATCATCTTTTCATCTAGTTTCCCTGATACTTTGGGCAAATTCTGAGATGGCCTCTTACTTTGCTTCTAGACATAAATGTAACTTCACTATATTCACTTGTTCTCGATTATTTGAGCTCTAGAGAGAGTAAATATTTCAATAATCCGTCTATTTTCTCGCTGCAGTACGTTGATTTCTTCTCGTAAAACACTATGGATTCTAGACAAAATCCCTGATTTGTCTTTGCAAATAGTTTTCATTACATCGGAGCGAATAATTTCATGTCAAGTTTGCCGAAAACGCTAGTTACTATCTGTGTTCATAATTCACCTTAATATGCATGAGCTAGCACAGCGATCCCAGTGATAAACTAGTTATGCTACAAATGGCACAGACTTTCTCGTTAGTTTTCAAATTTCTTTGGCCTGAGCTTGCTTTATTGTCTTTCCACACACGTTTGCCAGCTACCATCTATCGCCGCACAAATTACATTTTTTTCAATATTTTCACAATTTTTATCTTTTCTAATAGTAGAACCCAAATATTACTTTAAGAGTATTAAAGAATAGTAAAACCTCGGATATAATTAGCTGTCAAAATGGAAAGTTTGGAGCCGTTTTTAAGAAAATGGCGATTGACCGATTCTGAAAAAAAGGTATTTCGTTTTCACAGAAAACTTTTGAGCTATCGAGAAACTTTATTTGACATTATTTAAAGCACATGTACTAATAAGTGCACTAATGTGCTGCCAACAAATCATCGCTGATGTAGATATATACGACATGGAATATGGAATATATATACGACATGGAGAAGAATATGGCGTTTATGTCATCTTATAGAGTACATTAGGTACTATCTCTACCAAACGTTAAAAAATTAAAGCCCTTCTAAGAAAATCTTGATATCTTTTTTTTTAAATTTCATATGTTGCACGCAATATTGCGCGAAAATTACTAAAATTTACAAAAAACCTACATGACCTTAAATGAATGAACTAAGTATGGACAACAAATTTAATCCGAATGAAAGGTCCCTACCTTAATCTTGTAGATGTCGGCAAAAAAACTCACTTTTGAAATTTTCGAAAATTCAAAATTAACCCTAAAAATAAGATCTATAACACTTTTATATTTTACTTCATTCTTACAAGATATTTAAAGACAAAATTTGGAACAATTTTTGAGAGAATTTTTAAAATGTCCGGGGGGCTTCATGTAAAGTACCACCAAAATTTGAAGAAAGTTGTTCTAAATCGCAGCGCCTCGAGGTGAGCCAGTTCAACCAGGTAATTTTGGATTTTGGAAAAGATCCCTGGTGTGCTTTAAGGTCTAGTGGCTTACAGACGACGCACCGACGGAGGGACGGACGAACGTTTTTAAAACAACAATTTTTCGATGTCAGGGGACTCCAAAACGTGCATTTCCGTTGATATCACCGTTCCTCAGCATTACATAACTTTCCCTATATTAGGTATATTACTCCGTATATACATACATATACGGGAAAGTAAAAACAATGCACATATTGCACTTTTCTACATAAAGCGTCACATAGGTTTTAGCTGTTTTTCACGATAAATAACAAAAATATTAACAAGTAATTCACCTAGGGATGATCGGAATTTATGCCAGTCACCATCACCACACAAAATGTCCAAACACAACAGAAAAAGGGAAGGAGTTCATTATCTCATTTCCCACGTCCACTGGACATTATTCAAGACATAAAAAATTGACCTTTCTTCAACCTCAATACGAGCATTATGTATCGGGAGTACAAAACAAAGTGTTGTGGTGTTTCTGTTTCTCTCTTTGTGTTTCGCAAACTATTCAATACTGATTTTAACTTTTATCTTACATTGCCTGACTCATGCGAAATATGCGTCTCTATTAACCCAAAAATTAAGTCACGTCCACTAGCGAAAGGGTGTGATAAATGAAAATGACGTTAGTAGCAATGAACACTGTCATTTTTAAAACTATTTTGTTGTTTATATTCAAACATCACATGAAATATAATGATTGTGACTATGTTTATATTGTCACGTTTTGTACCTAATTTATTTTTTTACTGAACACAAATGCTTGCTAATTGTGTTACTAAAGAAAATTTAAATGCATAGAACTCTTCTGTTGTCGAGTATTATAAGAAAATCAAATGAAAAGACAATAATTCTGATATAACAAACTTTATTTAGATTTTTCACGTTGCTTATTTTAAGTTAATATCATCGACAATTAAAATACATATTCTTGAGCTTTTGGGAACAATATTGTTTTATTAACAACAAAATGAATATTTAACATATATAGGCCAAACTGCATGTCCGCTTCCATTTTTACAAAATATAACTGCGCAAATGAACAATCGCACATATTTACAGTTATTACTGGAACAAAAATTACAAGGAACTCAAACAGTACTTTTTGGCATATTTAATTTCACAAAGTATTATACTATACCATGAGTTTCAGCATTGGAATTATAAACACAAGATCAAATACTTCAGGCAAAATTAAATCCTCCAATTTTTCAGAAAAACTCTACTGGCTGTTGGGTCATTTGTACGCTGATAGCGTTTTAAAAATACTCTCTTCTTTGTTAATTTGCAGAAATGTATGAAACCGCTTCCCGTTGACGAAGGATCTAATATTTAAAACGATATTCTCATTCTGGGTAAAACCAAAAAAGAACTCGTCAACCAATATATTAAATTATTTTACGGTTATACTTATTTCACATAGAGACTTTCGTTTCATAGCATGAAATACCACATCAAAAAACTTCCATGAGCTGGTATGGTGCTTTAGTACACATGACTTTAGTACACTTAACATTTAGTGCAATGCTTTAGTACGTATCACCGCAAAATAAATTAGCTTTCTATCAAATTATTCATCACCACTTTTAAGATTATTGTAGGTGAATGTGTTTCAATATCTGATTCTTGTTAATTTGTCCAATTGTTTCTATAAGTTTCCACCTGAAGATGGCCGTAATACTTTAAGAGGAGCCGAAACCTACTGATTTTTGATTTTTTTATTTAATAGAATATTTTTAAGAAATCATTGAAGATACACCCAAAGAGACAGACATACACACGGAAATACTTTGTTGTGTTCAGGCCTAGCCACTACACTTCACCCTCAGCAAAAGTAAACGCTTCAGCCTTGGCCGTTGTCTCAGCCTTGTTGAGTGCCATTGAGTGGCAAGTGATCTGAAGGCGCCATGCCTTTGTCGTTTGCCCGTAGTTCTGCACCATGGAGGGCTTCATCACCGCCATGGTGGACGAGTGGCCGCAGCTGCTGCGCCGCCGCAAGGAGGTCTTCATCGCCATCGTCTGCTTCCTGTCCTTCATCGTCGGCCTCTCCTGCATATCGGAGGTAAGCACCCCAAACGCTCTCCTCGCGGCCAATTCCTACCTTATTTGGATAGAGCGGACATTCGCAACACGGTCGGTATCGAAAATGATCATTAATGATTCGATGAAGAGTTGATAGCCTAATATGAACCGGCCAATGGTCGATAAAATGAACTCATTGATTCCAAAAATATACTCAAAAAGTTATTTACCATTTGGATTATATAATTCTAAAGAACCTCTAAAAAGTATTGTAATTCAGCTTCTGGGTCAATGACACCCATCTCGATCAGGTTTTCTTCCAGTTTCCCTGTTTCTTGAGTGTATCCTGAGATGGCTTCTCCTGGGAATTTAACTCAATTTTTATTTATGAAAATGGAACCTTTGTGCAATTAGATATTTGACATTGTTTCAGGAAATACTTTTTTACTTGCAAAAATAAGAGTTATAATTGTACAAAAATCAGAAATGAAATATCTTTCTGATTTCCTCATTCATTACTAATTGTAATTGTTAAGTTGTCTTCGTGAGATTATTTGTGCAACTATTATGTCGTATGCGGTATTTTACATAGAATCAATGTAATGGCTTTGATAAAGCAAACCATGTTCTAGAATGTGAGATAGTAAGCATAATGATCGATATCATGAAATAAGAGGTACATATATCATGGTATCGATATTTATTAAATGTCTGTACGACACACGTGGCAGTCAGGTACAGAACTGAATGAAAAAATGTAATAATGATAGTACAAAATGTTACAAATAAATGAAACATAAAAATATAGTATAATAAACGCAAATAGCGTATTAAATCTTAAAACGTGTAATAACGTGGTTCCCAGCCGTAGAACTATCAACCTTGCTTCTTATTTCGCTTTGTACCCATAAGGAAAACTCTTGTTTTTCTAAAAACTGTGACAAGTTACACTATAACCGACTGTGTGTGTGTATGTTGTGTCGTTTATTATCAGTAAGAGTAATCTGTTAATTCTCACGGTCTACCATAGGCGTATTTGCGTCAGAATACGGGCTTTCTTTCGCAACTCTTTCCTAGTGGAGGCAAAGACCTGTTAACCATTGTATCGGACACGTGCTAGGTACACGTGAGTTGAAACCCACAAATCTGGAAACCTTTGGAGAGATGAGTTGGGTTACTGAATTGAATTGAATTAATGCCTTATTTCTCGTGGCAATACTCGGGCCATCAGGCCCGCTTTTCCGTCTGACCAAGCAAATTTCTCTACGCTCCTTTCACCAACTCACAGAGAAAGGAGGTGTTTCTTGGGTGAGAAACAGGCGATTTGAATTTAGCTCAGAGGCGACATTCAGGCTTGAGGAACTTTTACATGCAAGTAAATCTACTAACAAGTACGCGCGGACAGCCGGCTTTACATCCCCTCCGAAGAAAGACGTACGAAGGATTTTTTCGTCCTTAAAAATCTACGGCTTCGATGAGGTTTGACTGAGTACGACAGTGCGGTACGCTGTTACACCATCGCGCTGGTTATTCTGAGGCCCCAGAAGCTAAAACTAACCACTGTTCATTCACGTCACTAAATAACCTATACAAAGTGGAACCTATATAGTGTGACCATTTTTGACTGAGATTTATTTCTCCATTTCGAAGAATACGCGTTTTAGAATTATTTACTGCAGTTTAAATCCATTTTAAAATATGTATATCTCCTTATCTTGGGTAAAAATAAACGTTGAAATCATTTTCAGTTTTACAACTACCTATAATTGTTTACCGGTAACGAACCTCCATTTTCGTGTGTAGTCTCAATTTGTCATTTAGATATTAGATATAGCATATTCCATGTCTTAGGAATTCAAAACCTTGCTTTTATTGCACTTCTTCAGACAAGTAAAAACTTCGAGTGAAAGGTCTTGGGTGAGCGCTGAGCCTAAATTCCGCCAAACACTCGCGTGTTATGGGGCAACTTGATGACAAGTTGAAATTCTACCGTACCAGATATTCTTTCAAGAAGATAAAGTAAGGAGTGTTTTGTTAATTCGAAGAATAAAACGCGTCACCTTCATATCCGCTGTTACATTACAAGAAATGAAACTGAAATAGAACGAGAGGCCGCTATTCCACATCAGTGACGAGAGTTTATTGTTATTTCATTCTCCGAATCCCCCGCTCTCTGATTCCTGGAGAATGAAACAGAGGCACAGGATATTGCATTCGAATGCTTTTTACAAATTCGCCAATTTTCATTTTAACAAATGAAACTTTCATTTACCTTATACTAACGATGTTCCTGAAAATAGTCTCTTGAAATGGTAAAATTTAGAAAATAGCTATTAATCTGGTTGGTGGTCGAGGAGAGGTGGCCTGCTAACAGGGGTACCATTTCTCTACAACATGTGTCCGGTGTTTTAGTGTCCGTTGCAAGAAAAGGCGATCATTGGGGGGAGTGGTCTCTTGTGGACGTTTCACTGTGAACAACAAGAACAAGTTTTGTAATGGTTGTAAAAATTTATGTATTAATATCTCAAATATAAAAATAAACAACAAAAATAGTGATGTTTTTTTTCTAAATTTTGTAAAAATGCTCAACTTGTTTAGTCTTACAATAACCTTCCCACTTTTGGCAAAATTTGCAAGGGATGGGGTAGTGACGTCGCGCTGGAGATTTCCAGCAAAATTGATAAGCTGAACTTTGTTGGCAAGGCGTAGTTTCATGTCATCGGAGACACCAAATCAAATATACGTGAGGTGAAAGGACAATATTGAAGTGACAACAGGCAATTTACGTAATCTGCGACCGTGCTGTAGATGCAACGTGTGGATGTTATATCTTATGCTTCTGCGAGTTCCCTAACGATATTAATTCGGAACCATGTCAGTCGATAGTAATGTCTCTGAGGTAGGCTGAAACATTGCAGCCAAAATATTGGAAGTTTTAAGAACAATTGTTCAATGCTAATGACAAGCCTCAAAATGTTCGGGCTGCTAGACACCCGAGCACAGCATATTTCTATGTATTCATTCATTACAATTTATTAAGACTAAGAAAATTACGTAATTTCTGAAGTAACGAACGTACATTCAAAGGTAAAAATTCAAGCAATACTGCGAATTGTAGTCTCAGCATGTGGCGCTTTCATCTGAGATCACAGTGGACCGTTTGCTTTTGACTCAAAATATAGTTTGTACAGGTATTTCTCTTACAAAGTGTTTAGCACTATGTTGTTTTAAAATAATGATAATATACGAAACGTATTTGATTTTTTGGTTGCGTAGGGCGAAGCGAATTTTCGATAACTGTTTGAATGACACTAATGTGTAGAAATTAGAAAGCCACAATGGAAAGGGTAATATTAATATCATTTTATTCAACTCATATTCAGATAGAAGAATGGAACTGAATGGAAAGAAAGAATTTTATTTATTTTAAGTCCTGGCAATGCTTTTGTTACTAATTAGTATTGGCAGCCGTTTGGTTTCCGCCACAATTATTTGATGAAGAACGTAAATAACAAAATTTTATAATTTATAACGGAGACGTACTCTTCTTTTAGTCTATAGTCACAATAAGATGTTATTTTTGGAAAAATATTGACATCTGGCACTCACATTAAGCCGAAAATATCAAGTGCAAATAAATAAGAAAAAGAAAGTAACCTTTTCCCTATTTCCTGAGAGTAGGCCAATTTCACTTGTGGATGTTTTGTACCTTAAACGTCCTCATCTGATACTGAAAGAAATATTGACTTTCCAAACAGTCCCATGTTTTCAGTTGCCAAGTGTATTCCAAGTACTATTTGAAATGTGCAACGAAAGATAAAACCGAATGCAAAAAGTAACAGACTTTTAAGAAAATGTGGAACTTATGGGGAACTTCTGTGAATTCTTTTTACTAAACTGTGATTTTTTTACTAAACTGACAAGTAACCTATCTATATCACATTTTGCCAGGCGTCAGCGCAAACATAAATATTATCTGCCTATTGCAAGACTAAGTTTCAAAACAAATAATTACCAACAAAGTTTAAAATACATCTAAAAGCAGCAAGTATTCATACATTTCACAAATGAAATTTCAATCTCAGATCGCTAATACTTAATTGTCATTTTGTTTTGATTAAACAAATAGTAATGAAAAAATAGAATAAAAATGCGAAAGAATAAACAAATAATAATATAGACTTGTATAGTTTTAATGATTTTTATATTTATTGATTAATGATTAGTCTTTAGGTCTTTGCCCCAAAGGAATTTTATGGGGTTAATAATAAGTAATAATAATAATAATAATAATAATAATAATAATAATAATAATAATAATAATAATAATAAACATAACTATGTACCATTTTTCTGTGGCACAGGGAGGCATGTACGTGTTTCAAATATTGGACTCATATGCCGTAAGTGGCTTCTGCCTGCTCTTCCTCATCTTTTTTGAGTGTATCGCCATTTCATGGGCGTTCGGTGTCAACCGTTTTTACGACGGCATCAAGGACATGATCGGCTACTACCCCTTCATGTGGTGGAAGTTCTGCTGGACCATTGCGACTCCGCTCATCTGCGTGGTAAGTAGTTAATATTGATACTCGAGCAAAAAATTCACATTTTGTTCAACAAATATTAAGTCTGAATAATTGTATTTCGAGTCAATTAAAATACAGGTAACTAGTCCATTAACAAATATAATGAAGAACAAAAAAAACGAAAAAATTAATAACAACTAAAGTATTCAACGTGAAGAGTATTAAAGGTATTTCAGTTCTTTAATGTTCCATGATATTTTACATAAAGAATTTCATTAAAAGAACATTACGAGCTTGTCTGGTCTCTTTCTTCCAAATATCATACTGTTGTTACTCGAAGTACAAATATAAAACATGCTGATATTAATTTAATATGAACTGCCCTAAATCAATATTACAATTAATTTAAAATTGAATGATCAAAATGTTCACCTATTTATATCAGAATGGTAAATAAATATTGCGTGGAAGGGATGTGAGATGCAAGTTTATCTCTAGAATCTTTAGAACACAGTCGGCGACACGTGTTTGGCTACATTCTCTTGCTACCTGTAACAGAAAAAACATAAAAGGAAATAATGGTAGGTAAAAACCTAGAACGTAAAACAATGCCAGAAGCAATGTTGACACAAATTGAACCGAAGGACGGAAAGAAATTCCGTAATTCAGTGGATAATTGCAAGTAAAAAACTCTTAAAAAACAGTAAAAAAATTAACTCTTAAGTGTTGCCAATCTCTGATAATCAGACGCCAATCTCTTTTTTTTGTTACAGACATACCAGTAAGATTAGTATGTTGAAACAATCAATATTATGTTCAGGAATGGTAGCAGAACTCGATTAATTAAGATGTGAATTTAGAATGTTCATACAATTTTATTGCTACTTCTAAGACGAAAATGCTAATTTCTTCCGGGAAAATACTGTGAAGTGTTTATACTGAAAGATATGTAAGTTTTGCAATGTGTGAAAATGCCAGCACGGACTAGCATGTGGGCTATCCTGAGACGTATTTTCTCCAGAATGCGATTACGAGGACTAAATGATCATCCCGTGAGGACCTAGGAATGACCGCGCAAAAGATTAAAAGAAGTTACATTCTCCCATTTGGTTGGTATATAATTCACAATCATTATATATCACAATTAATATTGTTATATTAGAACGGTTTAATATTTTGAAGGACGCTTATAAAATGTTCCTTTCTGAGAAAAAAAATCACTTAATATTGTTTTTTTCAGTAAGAGAATGAACAATAAAAAATGGCGTACAATAATATTTGTACTCTACACATCAACTTTTGTCGACATACTGGAATCGTTAGAATTAACATTTCAATTCAACTGTCGTGATTTGTTTGACAAGCTGGCAGTGTTGACAAGTGGGTGTTTTTATTACGGAGGATGGCGCGATGTCACAAGAGCGCTTAATGACGCACTCTTTTTATCGAACTTGACCTCATTGTTTCGCATGAGCCAGGGGGGGAAATATGTTGTTTCTTCAGGATGTTTCGAAAGACAAGGATCTCTTGCTATTTGCAAAGTGAATGACTACATTTTACATCTTCAAAAGTGCTGAGTACGACATTACTTTTGAGACTTGCTAAGCACGCAAATGAGTCATTTACTGGCGCCAACAAACAATGCGAAATCTTTCTTCCTTCTTCTCTATAGGCATAATATTTTTCTTTTAGATCGCATTTTTTAAAACTTCCTTTAGAGTTGGGTCATATTTAGTAGTCATCAGGATATCAAATTATCTAAGGTATTGAAAATCCAGTCGCAATTTTGTCGATTTTGCAATATCGAGGTAGGACATTACTAACAACTATTGGTCTGCAACAACAAAAACGTGACTGAAAAAATAGTTTTCCGAAAAGTGGCAACCAATTTTCTCTCAAATATTTAACCAAAACATATATCACAAACACTGCAATAACAACAAAAATATGAAAATAGTTGCCGTTCCATAATGCAATACATACATAGCATATATTGAATGGCAGGCGGCATTTTCCATGGAGCCTTGCTGTCGCATGCCGTGAGCTGTGTACAGTAAGGCACTGATTATGTACATTTAGTCAGTATGCGCCGTATGAAAAAGAAGGCGGAAGGACACAATTCAATTTGCATTTTTCAGTCAATATGGAAACCTTTTTATTGTTTTTGAACTTTCCACCGAGTTTGCGGGCATCGAACAAAATTATAGATATCCTTTTCATGGCTGGAGGCTGTACGTTTCTTCCAAATTCTTCGCATTGCATATTAGTAACGTAGGTAAAATGTAGTGGCAGTCGTTTACACCCCGTACTGAAAAGAATACTTTAAACTAACCATCCACAACTAAAATATCTTTAAAAGATTTTCTACGTGTCAGTTTACATATTATGGGTACATACTAGGATTTACTCCGTTTACTGATACTTTTGTAGTGAGTGATCGATTAATATCAATTATGAACATGAATATGAAGCAATATGACCCTGAAATTTTAACAATGGATAAATAAACGTATCATATTTATTGTACCTAAAATTTAAGAAATCTACTGCTTGCAAATTTGAAGCAAAGTAGGGAGAGCGACAGGGCAGCTGTTTGGACGTTGATAAAAAAATCCTTTACATCTGTGACAGAAGAATAGCCACAGGAGACATTGTGCAGGATATTCCGTTATATTAATGTTGATAACATATTTGTGAACAGAACTACGATGGTATCACTCTTCTATAGATTTCTTCAATATAATTTATATTCTAAACAATACATTGGATATTTTTCTTTTCATTGAGGCTTGAATTACTTTCATTGCAAACACAAAGCACAATTTTATTCGCATTTTGCATATTTTTTACGAGCGAGAGTTGGGCGTCGCGAAAGGATAGGAAAAATTTACAGAATCCCTTTTATTCATGACAGAATTAAACCTGTATAATGTCTAGGTTAGTTCACTCTATTACCGTAGAGAAATATATTTTCTGAACATATTTTTTTCTTTAAATATGTTAAATATTTCAATATACCGATAATCTGTAAGAAAAATCTCTGAATCATGAATCAATGGATGTGTTCTTTTTCACGTCTTCAATTATTAGATGTACGTATTGAGTTCACATTTCTGATGGCAAACGAAAGGAGGCTTACGAATTCTCTTCTGAACAGGCAAATACAGTAGTGAATTGCGTTTATCTTTCTCTGATTGTTTAAGAACTTCATGATATTATTTACGATTTCAGACAAAACTACACAAAAAAGTCAAATTTGGAAAAAAGAATTACAGTAAGATCATAACGAAGAAAGTATCTCTAATAATGCAGAGGGAGAATGGAAGAGGTCGACAAAATTCTTAACTATTCCAGAGTTCGAAATCTGTGATGTTTTACTGACAATAGATCTGCGATTTTTTATAAGCTTACGTTGCACTATTCGCGCAAATAATTAAAGAAAATATTGACTTTTTTCGAGAAAAATCGGAAATTTTCTATATGCTACAGTTAAAACTCCCCTAATATTTTAAAGACCACTCAAAATTTGAGCCGCGGCATCGGACAGGTCGATTGAGAAATATAATTTTTCATGAAAATGCTGTGTACGGTGTAGATTAGGGGACAATGTTAGCAAACGGGCAGTCATTTTGAGAAATCCCACTTCTTCGGTGTCAAGGACCACCAAAACCTCTATTTTGACGACACATCTACGTTACGAGAAAGTAATCTGCTGCCTAAAGGAGAACGGAAGAAACACGTCGTTTGGTGTCATGGCCCATTACAAGCGTTTTCTGACAAAACATTAAACGTTTTCTGTAGAGTATCAACTTTCTCTGTACTACCGACAAAGTTTTTTTATTGAATAGTTTTTCTCGTACAGCATAAATATCGAATTTATAGAACTGATATGGTACTATTCGGTGCATATGTACACACTAATACGAATACTAAAAGGGAGGATGTCCCATCACTGGGCAACTCGATGGGAAAGTAGGGAGAAACGCTTAGGAGTTTCAGTTGGAGTTTTGTGAAATATATGGGATTAAAGTACTTAAGATGTGGACGAGAGAGAGGAGTTCCATTTCGCCGACGGGGCGCTCTCAAGGCAGGCGCCGGCAACCCAGGCACTCACACGCACGGGCCCCGCCACCCACGCGCAGGAATGCTGACGCGACACGTCCCTGCGCTCTAATTGCATCTGCGTTTACCCCCTTTCTATTCGTGGTGGTGTGGCTGAGAGGAAACGGTTTTGAAGACGAACGTTTCATTTGTATAGAAATACAACTCAAGAACAGAGCTCAATTTACGGATGTCACATGTTTGCTTGCTCAACTAAATACAAATCATAATATGATACCTTTATAAACAATAACATGGGAAAGCAATACAATATAAAGAATACAATATTAATGAAAAAGGTACAAATGGGAAGAAATTTTAAAAAGAAATAATCTCCTACTAGCATATTATACTTATTACTACCAGCAGATTATGCATCCTATAAGAAAGATACAGTTTTCTATTACTGCTTCTAATTATTTCGTATTGCCTCCAGGAATGATAAGCTTCAACAAACGAAGCAAGTGCACCGGGTGTCGTGGTGTTTTCTTATCCTCTAAACTAACGGATATGCTTTCTTATACTTCCCAGCTCGTTTTGAAAAACATGTGATTACTTGACTATTTTATAAGTGTCTCTTTTTCTTGTATCGCCTAATGTTATCCGGGGAGCATATGTCAGTAATTCTGAATTTTAGTTTGTGGTAAATCTTTCGTCCACTTCTTGCTTCTCTCGCTCAAATCCTGATACTTTTCTTTGGTCTGCCTGGTCGGTTCAATACTTTATGTATTTGAAATGTGCCATTGAGCCTATCAGCGGTGGATTCACGCATAGGCAGAGTAGGCATGTGCCTACAGCTTTCAAAGGCGCAAACTTTTCTTGATATTTTCCAGAACACATTTAGGTTCTCTAAAAACTATAACAGCATAAATCATATTTTTATTTTAAAAATGATTTAAACGAGACTAAAGCCGACTCCTCAACCTTTGATTTATAAATTA